ACATTTTTATTAAAAGAGGTACTCTGATTTTTATAAAGCATAAACAAAATCGGTCTTTTCTGGCCGTGAAAATGGGGATGTCACAGATTTAGTAAGCGGTTCATTGTTATAGCTATCATATTTTGTTAATTAAGATTTTTGGTGTGAGTCCTCTTTGTAACAACATGACTGAGCTCTGCATGCTCGAACGATTTATCCCGGATTCTCAGGTAGATACTAGCAATGCTTATCCTTTATCTTCCTCTCTTTTTGGATGATCCTGGTTACTCAATTTTAATTTCCCAAATATGGGTTTTTGTGATTTTGTTTTCTCCGATTTATGTTTTTCTAATCGGTCAAACATACCCATGAGAAGATTTGCTACTTTTCCATGGGGAAAGCATATTCTTGTTACATTTTCGGAAAATCATTCGGTTGATTTGCGAAGGGTGGGCTTTGCTTCTTGATCTCACCGGGTAGACAATAAGAAATTTAGTAACAAGGTTTTTTTCTTCCGTTTGTGTTAGTTAGTTATGAACGTCATATTGTTTAATGAAATGAGTGGCAGTTGTCAACCAATATACATATTGGTTTCTCTTGGTTCTAATATATTAATACATTTATTTATCATTCAACACATTTAACCCAACAAATCTTGATATTGTGTATCTTTTGGTTTCTTGACATCTTAAATGGTAAAGTTACTCAAATATCATTTATATGTCCATTTTATGTGATATTAGACTCCTTACTTTCTCATCACTAATTAAGTTTTCTTATGCTATTGTAGGAGCATTGTTTATTGGTGTTCTTTGGAATAGAATAAAAATCATATGAATTCGTTACATTGATTAATGTTTATATTTTCACTATGTTGATTGTCCGCTTTCATCAGGATTGCCAAAAGCACTTTTTGACGGGCTGGTATAAAACTAACAAGTGCAAAATTGGTTGCAGTTTCAACTGATTAGGTCACCGGTTAATGAACTGAAGTGGGTAACTTTTTAAGTTAATAAATTGTGTTGTGTTTTTTCTTGATTTAATGACTAATTTAAAAAAACATTGACGAGCGAGGAAAGCGGGAAGGTCGATAGGGCAATTTGCATTCGGAGTAACCCGATTTCAACTACCAACGAGTCACACTTGGTCCAAGTTATAGTTGCACATAAGCAATTTGGTCGTTGATTAAACATGTGAGTTTAAAGTTTTTTGTGTAAAGATATACAGATAGTTTTTTTTTCATAATATTTTGTTTATAAAGTATCGATTTCCTACTTATTCATAACTCATGTACCTTTTTTGTGCAAGAAAAAGCAATGGACTTATATATATATATATATATATATATATATATATATATATATATATGTTCGATCTTTGTTGTAGGATCATTTTGTGGCGACAAGTGTCACTTAAGAACAATTTAAATCAAGTCCATGAACATTTCAATCTTTAGATCTCAACTATTTCACTACACCATAATGTTGCTTAGTTGTTCATTTTTTTAACAAAAATACTTCTCAACAATGAATGATATATATATATATATATATATATATATATGTATATCATAAAAATAAGATTTAATACCAACATTAACTTGGTTTAGTATCTGTTCATGGTCAATTTTATATTAATTGAAGATCAAAAAGTAAACGTGATGTACTTTTTGAATCATTTCATACATTGAAAGAAATAAAATCCACAAATTTGTGAATGTGTAAATTGATAATGTAGCGATTGAGTTATTAGAGTTTATATTGTCTAGGTTAGTCGACCGTATGCGGTGTGATCAAGTCAAATTGAAGTTGTTCGGTTTCCATTTCCAGAGCATAAGGCTATTTTGCATATAGAGAGGTCAACAATAAATCATCAACTCCCAATTAGTCTTATTAGTCGAAATGTATTTAAGGTTAGGTTTGAGTTTTTCCTATTGCTTTTACAAAAACGGCCACTTTTTAACAACATATATTGATTTTGGTGTTTTATCGCATATTTTAATATGTTTATTTAATTTCTTTGACATAATTATAATAGTACGTATAAAATTATAATTGATATCCACAGTCCACGCACCATGATTAATAACCCACACTTAACATAACATCTAATCACAAAATAATTAATAAACGAAAGTGAACATTGTATTTAATCAGGACATCATTAGGTCTAGTTACTTCAAAAGAAGCTAATATGTAATACAATGAAACTTTACTTTTCATTTCTATAATAGAATGATACAACGATATTTTCATTTGGAAGTTTTTAAATATGTTATGTTTTAGTACGAACAAAAGATAAAAACACAATGATAAATTAAAATAGATTGGGGAGTTATAATAAATCAATAAATGAAATGTAGTTGCTATTTTTTATGTATTTATCTCATTCGTTCTTTCATTTCTTTCGGTATAAACATGAGCAATGATAATCTCAATCCATTAAACGAATGACTTAACCCATGAATACAATACACACCTTGTTTTTATAATTACATTTTATGTCCCGTCGGGTTGTGTGGGTAGATGGCTAGTGTGTGTGTGTGTGTGTGTCTATATATATATATATATATATATATATATATATATATATATATATAGCTAATGTGTTTCTAACATTTATTGTGTGCTACAATGCACCAATAGAAATTTAGTAAAATAAAATAATTATTTAATTAAATAAAAATAGATATTAAATGATTTTCATTATTGTATGTATATTAACTGATATCCATAATTATAATTTTTTTACGGAAACTAATTAAATTCGTTATTAATGTCAACAGTAACATTATTTTAGAATAAACTCGCATCTAAGTTGTCATGTATGAGTTTGTGTTTTGTTTATGGACTCTCTCACTTAAAATACAACAAAGTTGCATGGAATATGAAGAACGAGAGTGTATTCTAATGGAATACACTCTCATTCTGTTAAAATATACTCTCATTCTTCTAGAATAAACTCTCATTCTACTAGATACACTCTCGTTCTCCATGTTCTTGGAAACATTGTTGTATTTTGAGTGAGTGGGTCACGAATCAAAATACGAACCCATACATGAAAAACTAAATGCAAATTTATTCTGAAAGAATATTATTGCAGATATTAATGACAAACTTAATTAGTTTCCATAAAAAAAGAATTATAACAATGGAAATCATTTAACATACATATAATTATGGAAATCATTTAATATCTATCTTTTTTTGATTAGTTAATAATATAATTTTTACTAAATTTTTATTAGTGCAATCTAGAGCACAATAGATGTTAGAAACATTTGAACCTAGCTCTCTCTCTCTCTCTATATATATATATATATATATATATATATATATATATATATATATATATATATATATATATATATATATATATATACTAGGTTATAACCCGTGGGCACCACGGGTTAGAAACTAAAATTTATTTTTAATTAAATTGTAACTTTTTATTTAAAACTGGTAATTAATAATAGAATCTTTACTAATTAAAGTGTAAATGTTTTGGAGTAATATGATAATGACATAACTATTGGTTGAAATTACGAACTTTTAGTGGTTTGAATATGCAATTGGTATTTTGTATTTGTAGATATGCAAAAAAGTTATAATTTTATAAAATGAAATATAATTTTAACTAAAACAAATATTGAAATTTATATAAATAATAAAACTGTACAAAGTTTTTTACAAATTTCTAAAAACTTCTTTATACACAACATTGGATGTTTTATTTGTTAGTCTACCATCTTTATCTAAACTCCACAATTTTAATCCTTGTCTACTTTGAACTCTGGATAAAGCAACATACAATTGATCATGTTTAAAAACAGGATCCTTGAGAAACAAACCAACCTTCGACAAAGACTGTCCTTGGATCTTATTAATTGTCATTGCAAAACACACAGCCAATGGAAATTGTCTTCTTTGGAATTTGAACGGGATCTTGTCTTCAGAAGGAGTTAAAGACATTCTCGGAATAATAGTCTGGTTTCCAATATTACCTCCAGATAAGATAACTGCCTCAATAACACGTTTGTCCAAAGATATAACATGTAGTCTAGTCCCATTACATAAGCCATTTTTCTGATCAATGTTTCTCAATAACATAACTGGAACACCGACTTTTAAAATGAGCTTATGGTTTAGAAGACCTGAGACTTTAAGACCATTTAAAACATCAGGTGAGTATAAATTTGTATCAAACTGACCATGAAGAAACTCAGATCGGCATAGGCTATCTGAACTTAAGTATTCTGTTGGTTCTCCTGGAAACAATGACAACAAACGATTGTTTATTTCTTGGACAACTTCATTCTTCGGAGCAAGTATTGCTTTTTCTTGAAAATAATTAGCAATGTTAAAGTTTTCCAGTATAGAAGGATATACAAAACTAATTAATGAACCTATAGGATCATGTGGATTAGTAATGACAATATCTTCTAGAATATCAACAATTGCTTCACCGTCATTCGGACCACCAAAATTACCTTCTCCTATGTCTAAAAGCCAAGTTGCAAAATCCCTTATTTGTTCAATAGCAGATTGATCACTTCCAACTGTTAACCTCATGTTTTTTGTTAATTTATGAACTTTGCATTGTTGCCATAAATAAGAACTTAAAGAAGCATTAACAATGTTTTGTCTATTGCCACCTAAAACAACAGGTAGAATTTGTCTGAAATCACCTCCAAAGACAATCACTTTCCCTCCAAATGGAATATTTGAATTCGTAGGATTGGCACACTTTAATATATCCTTCAGAGTTCGATCTAAAGCTTCGAATGCATGCTTGTGTACTATGGGTGCTTAATCCCAAATGATCAATGAGGTTTTTCTTACTAAACTGGCAAGATCACTCTTTGGATTTATTCTACAAAAAGAATCATCGGTTAGATTTATGGGAATTATAAACTGAGAGTGTGTTGTCCGGCCTCCAGTCAATAATAATGAAGCTATCCCACTTGAAGCAACATTTAAAACAATCTCACCTTGAGCTCTAATTGCTGCCGAAATTCTCTTCTAAAGAAATGTCTTACCAGTTCCACTATAACCATAAACAAAGAATACACCTCCCCTACTATGTTTAACTGCATCCATGATATCAATAAAAATGCCTCGTTGCTCGTTTGTTAATGCAACAAACAACCGATCAAACTCGTTCTTTAAATTTGGAATGTCATAATCTAGCTCCTCGGTAATAAGACAATTGTTTGAAGATGAAACAGAATCAACATCTGGGTAAGGCATCTTTCCATATTTTTTAAGGCTGGAATTGTTATGAAGTAAAATTTGTTCTATCTCAAACAAGGTCAAGTTTTTATGTTGATCTTCGTTTAGTGATAAACCTATACGGAAAATAATTTATTAATTGGAACGTATAAAAAAACTAATTGATTGGGACATAAAATATAATTGAATTTATACTGAAATTGTATATGATACTCTTTTAATAATAATCATATAAAGTTATATTACTTGGAGACTTTAATCTCTGTTGTTGATTGTAAAGAATTCCATCTGACAGGTATTCCCAAGTGTTTTGCCAAACTATCTCTGGTTTACACAAACTGCTGGACAATAACATCGTAGCAAATAAGAACCGTAGATAAAAACCAGATCCAGAAAGACTTGCTTCCTTAATTGCATCGATGAATTCTTTGTCATCATCTAAAAGGCCAAGATTATAACATGCATCTTTAAAAGAAGAACATAGTTCACCAACTGTGCGAATTTCTTCGAATGATTTAGGACCTTTCACTTTATTTAAAAGAATTCTTAAGAAATATGCTTTTCCGAGTTTAGGTGAAACAGAGTGAATTCTACCAATCGCATATCCAACTTTCCTTGGCTTCCAAATCAGATCTTACGGTGCCAAACAAACATTGTAGGAAATTCAACATATGTCAGTTTCCGTGCTTCTTTATTGATTTCATTACACTTCATCCAAGATGTGAACATTGAAGAAGCAATTGAAGTTCGGTCAAGAACATCTTCAATGTCATCGTCTGCCTCATATACAACATGTTGTTGATCTGGAAGATGAAAATGTAGTCTAATCACAGCAGGATATCTATAATGAACACCGTATTTGAAAATCCGCCATGAAGCTTCACATGCAGAAATATATCTACAATTATAGTATTTTTTAATTTTATCCACTGCATCGTTCTTATCGGAATCATTATTGCTTTGCACCATAGAAACAATAGCTCTATCAGGACCCTTGTTTATATATATAAATGACTAGTTTCGTGTTAGACCACCATAGTTTGTGAGATGGGGAGACGCGTAAGCACGATGTGTTGTTAGACCACTAGTTTCGTGGGTAAAGGTTTATGGAGGAAGAATTAAACTACGGGAAGCGTAAGCACGATGTGCTGTATGGTATGTTTGACACCGACAGTGATTCCAAGGAAAAACGAAGGAAAGATGTGTCCAGGATGCCAATGGATCATGACAGCAGCAAATAGGATAACAAAAAAGATGGTGAAGGCGTTGGTGTACTTGAGAGGTCCAGATCATTAAACAAGAAGAAGTCGAGTAAATTAGGATTTGGAAAAGATGTTGGTGTGTTTGAGAAGCACACAAAAGGTATCGGAATGATGTTGCTTGAGAAGATGGGGTATAGAGGAGGTGGGCTAGGTTAGAATGCACAAGGTATTGTTGCTCCGATAGAAGTAAAGTTGCATCCCAAGAATATGGGAATTGGGTTCAATGATTATAAAGAGTAGGAACCAATCGAGGAGATTAAGGTTTTTCCCCAAAAAGAGAAGACATGGTTAAAACAAGGTGTTTTAAAAAAGAAGGAAAAAGAGTACATAACCGCAGAGGAGCTGTTGATCAAGAAGCAAGAACAAGGGTTGGATGTTGTTGAGAAAGTGTTTGACAGGAGGGGACCACAAGTTCGGGTGATGACAAGTTTAGAGAATCTGAATGCCGAAGAAAAACAAGAAGAAGAAAAGTCAAGCCCCATCCAACATAATATAAGATTGATTGTTGCCTGGGCTAAACTTGATATGAAGAAGATTATGTGGGACTTGAGAAAAGAGAGAGAGACGATTGTGACTTTGCAAAAAGAAAAGGAAAAGCTAAAAGATGATGCCACCCGTCAGAAAAAACAACTTGGTAGCATGGAAGAGATGGTGTATGTGGTGGAACGGTTGACAAAGGAGAGCTTGTTAGGGACATTGACTTTAGAGTCTGTTTCCATGTCATTCGAGGACTTACAGAGACAATATCTTGATGAGTACAAGCTGTTTGGTTTGGCTATTATCGCGTCCTCTTTTGCCTTGCCTTTGCTGAGTAGGGTCTTCCAAGGATGGGACCCACTGCAAAACCCGTTACACGGTTTGAATGTTATGTCGGTATGGAAAGATTTATTGAAAGGAAATGAGATATCTTACACGCAGCTTTTTATGGAAGCCGTGTTCCCAGCTGTAAGGATATCTGCTACCAACACCATGCAAGCTAGGGACCCTCAACCCTTACTCTGTTTCCTAGATTCTTGGGAACAACTAGTCCCTCACTCTGCTCTTCAAACCATACTTGACAACATTGTCATGCCAAAGTTAGCGTCTGCTGTCGACTCGTGGGACCCACGTCGGGAAACCATACCAATACATTCGTGGGTCCATCCATGGTTGCCATTGCTGGGGCAGAAGCTCCAGACATTGCATCATACCATAAGGAATCGTCTAGAAAATGTTCTTCATTCTTGGCACCCAATTGATATGTCAGCTTACTACATATTGTCTCCCTGGAAGACTGTTTTTGACCCGACAAGCTGGAAACAGACGATGGTCCGATACATCATTCCAAAGTTGTTGGCAGTCATGCATGAATTCCAAGTCAATCCAGCAGATCAGAAGCTTGACCAGTTTTACTGGGTCCGGACTTGGGCTAGTGCGATTCCGACTCATCACATGCTTCGTATAATGGACGTGTGTTTTAACAAGTGGCTACAAGTTCTGTACCAATGGTTATATTCAAAGCCGGATTTTCAACAAGTTATAAATTGGTACCTGGGTTGGAAGGATCTTATCCCACCCCAGCTTCTGTCGAATGAGCATGTAAGATACTGGCTTAATATTGGTCTGAACATGATGAACCAGGCGGCTGAAGGCTTGGAGGTTGTCCATCCAGGTTTCAGAGAAAACATCAAGACCCACTCTGAACCTCAGGCAGCAAAGGGACAGCAACCAGGTTCTGGTGGTGTTGGTACTGTTGATATGAGTTTGAAGGAACTTATTGGAGTTTATGCACAAGATAATGATTTGCTGTTTATGCCTATAGTGGGAAGAATGAAAGATGGCCATCAAGTGTTTAGGTTTGGGAACATTAGTGTAATCATAGACTCTCTCAACCAAAAGCTGTTTGCTCAAACTGAACACAGATGGTCTCTTGTAACCCTTGAGCAACTGGTGAACCTGGACAAGGGTTGGGTTCTGAGAAGAGGCTGAAATTCTCTAAGTGATTTATTTGGTTCTTTTTTTTGATATACTGGTTTGTCTCTAGTTCATATATATGAATGGATCTACTATACCTTTGTTTGGTTTCACTACTATTCTAATGGTTATATATTTTTTCTTATCAATGATGTCCGGTTCAATGAGTGGTATTAATTGTTGGTTTAAACTTCTTAAACAATGATGGTTTACTCCCTTTAATTTGCTGTTGTGTATTAGGAAAACAAAGAAGGAAGAAAACAAAACAAAGCCAAGAAGGAAGAGTGACAGCAAGAAGAAAATGTGCAGGGGAATAAGAAGAAGCAAGGAGAAAAACTTTACTGCAACTTTACTCTCAAGTTCATCATCAATAAAAGAAAAGCAAAATACACCTATTTATAGGAAAACAAAAAACGTGACAACTACTTAATTTCCTTGACTTGTTGACTAAGTAAAACATCCTAATTTGACTCTACTACTAACTTTCCATATGCTGTGAAGTTTCCATATTCTGAATTACATTTACATTCTCCCCTGTAATTCAGAAACTCTTATCTCTTCAACTCCAAGCAACTTTCGCATTGCTTCAAACTTCACTTTGTTCATAGGCTTGGTCAAGATGTCAGCTTTCTGCTCATTAGTATTCACATGCTTTACTATAACATTGCCTCTTTCTATATAATCATGAATGAAGTGATATCTTGTATCAATATGTTTACTTCTTCCATGAAAGACTGGATTTTTCATCAAATCCAAAGCTGACTTGTTATCCACATTCAATTCAAATGGACCAAATTTTCTTCCGGTCAACACACCAAGCAACCTACTTATCCAAATGCCTTGACATGCTGCATTATTAGCTGCCATAAATTCTGCTTCACATGATGACAATGCAACACACGTTTGCTTTTGTGAACTCCAAGTAACAAGATTGTTGTCTAAGTAAAACGCCATTCTACTTGTACTTTTTCTATCTTCAATATCTCTTGCTAGATCACTATCAGTGTATCCAATCACGCAATTCTTTCCACCTTTCGTATATGATAAACCATAGTCCACAGTTCCTTTTACATACCTTAGTATGTGCTTCACAGCTACTTGATGTTGCTTGGTTGGTTTCTCCATGAAACGACTCACAATGCCTACAGAATAAGCTATGTCGGGTCGTGTGTGAGTAAGATATCTTAGCCCTCCTATGATGCTTCGGTATGAGGTAGGATCTACGAGTTTAACTTCTTCATCCTTAGTCAATTGTATCTTTGACTCCATGTGGTACCTGCAAGGATTACAATCAAACATCCCGACCTTCTTTAGGATGGTGTTAGCATAATTCGTTTGTCTCAATGTGAGACCATTTTTATGTTGATTAACCTCGATGCCTAAATAGTAAGTTAGCATCCCAAGGTCACTCATTTCAAACTCCTTGCTCATTTGTTGTTTGAACTTGATTATCTCATCCTTGTGACTTTCGGTGACAATTAGATCATCAACATAGACACCAATTATTAGTATGCTCCCCTTCTTTTTCTTTGTGTAAACTGCATACTCTTGTGGGCACCTTTCAAACCCTATCTCTTTCATGCATTGGTTTAAGCGAAAATTCCAAGCTCGTGGAGCCTGGCGTAAACCATACAAAGCTTTTGCTAATTTGTACACCATTTTTGGTTTATCTTTCTTCACGAATCCCTCCGGTTGTCTCACATAAACTTCTTCTTCTAAATTGCCATTTAAGAAAGCTGATTTTACATCAAGGTGATGTACATTCCATCCATTTGAAGCAGCAAGAGCAAGTATGATTCGAATGGTTTCCAAACGAGCAACCGGTGCGAACACTTCATCAAAATCTATGCCTTGTTTTTGTATGTAGCCTTTAGCGACTAGCCTTGATTTATATTTTAATATTTTTCCATTCGGGTCTCGTTTGATCTTGTACACCCACTTTAAGCCAATGGGTCTTCTATCCTTTGGCAAGTCGACTAAACTCCATGTTTTATTCTTCTCAATTGCACTTAACTCACTTTTCATAGCTTCCATCCATTCTTCACTTTCACTTGCACTTGAAAAATTTACCGGTTCTTCTTCATCTTGTAAAAACATAAGTTCATCACTTTCTTCGTAAATATCGGCCAAACTACGATATCTTTGTGGAGCTTCACTTTCGGATGAACTATCAAGTGATGATTGAGGTGTAACCGGACTATATTGTGGTGTATATTCTTCATCAAAATTTGGATGGATATCTTCTTCCTGTTCAGCTTCAATATCAAGCATGATATCAAAGGTGAATGTTCCATTTGTCATGGCTTTGAATTTTGTTGTAGGTACCCACTCCTACTTAGCATCTTCTCGAAAGTTACATCTCTTCCCACTCGAATTGCTCCAGTTTCCAGATCAAGTAGTCGATAACCTTTTGTACCTTTTTCAACTCCCAAGTGTACTAGCTTCTTACTTCTATCATCTAGTTTTTTTAGATGTGTGCCGACTATTTTTGCATAAGCAACACAACCAAAAACTCTCACATGATCGGTGTTTGGCTTCCGACCGGTCCATAGCTCGTAAGGTGTTGACTCTTTTAAGGCTTTTGTGGTTATACGATTTAGGATGTAGACTGAGTGACTTACGGCTTCACCCCATAGAACTTCTGGAACATTCATCCCTTTTAGATTGCTTCTCGCCATCTCTACTACTGTTCGGTTGCGTCTTTCTACAACACCGTTTTGTTGCGGGGAATAAGGTGTTGTATAGTGGCGTTTCAACCCGGTTTCTTCACAATATGTAGTGAATTGTGTTGATAAAAATTCACCACCCCGGTCGGTTCGAAAAACTTTTAATTTTAAGCCCGTTTCAACTTCAACTTGTGCTCTAAATTTCTTAAAAACAATTAAAGCGTCATCCTTGTTTTTCAACATATAAACCCACATAACTCGTGTATAGTCATCGACAAGTAACATAAAATATCTATTTCCAGCTGGTGTTGGTGGTGTGATCGGACCACAAAGATCTCCATGCACGAGTTCTAGTCGTTCTTTAGCTCTAAATTTGGTGTGCTTTGGATAGGATTTTCGAGCTTGCTTGGAGATCAAGCAAGCTTCACACAAGCTTGTAGGAATTTCAATTCTGGGTAAGCCTTCCACCATACTTGTATCAGCCATGTGTTTTAGTGCATTGAAGTTAACATGTCCAAACCGCTTGTGCCATAGCCAAGATGCCTCGCCTTGTTCTGCAAGTAAGCACTTTGAAACTTCTTCTTCAAGTATGGCCTTGTACAAACGATTGCTTGATTGTTGAACCTTCAATAATAGTTTTCCTTGTGGATCATGAATCCATAAATATAATCCAAGCATCACAATCCGATCTCCATGTTGAGCTAATTGTCCCAAACTAATAATATTGCTACATAACCTTGGTATATAGTATACCTCTTTCAACAATCTACTTTCACCATTCTTGCATTTGAACATGATTGAACCCTTCCCCTCTATTCAAAATCTAGATCCATCACCAAATTTCACATAACCTCTAGTAGAGAGATCAAGTGTTCGGAATTTGCCTTTTTCGCCAGTCATGTGGTTGCTTGCTCCATTGTCGAGATACCACACTTTTGATTGGGTTGGAGTTTGTTCACTTGATCTTAGCTTGGGATTAACTTTTTCTTCATTCACGTAAACTTCATCATTTACTTGGGCTGCAAGCAGAAGTACCGGCTCATGATCATTCTGTCCTTGAGTTAGGTTAGCTTCATGATTCCTCTCACGACGTGGGTTCTTACACTCAGCAGCGTAATGACCAAACTCTTGACAATTATAACATTGAACTTTAGATTTATCACGAGGTTGATACGATTCATACTTTCCTATGTTTTGTTGATTACCACCACCTCGTCCTTTGTTGGAGTTGTTGTAACCACCTTTTCCTTGTCCTCGTCCTTTTCCACCTCGATTATTGTTATAATTGTTTTTCCGTTGTTTTGAACGATCTTCATTATTTTTCTTCTTTGCTCGTTCTGTCCACTCTTCATGCGTTAACAATAGCTTCTTCTCCTCGGGTTCTTTATGAACCCCAATACGAATCTCATGAGCTTTTAATCTTCCGACCACCTCTTCAAACGTCATCTCATTTAGATCTCCAAATTGTTCAATTGTTGATGCAAGTTGAACAAATTTGGAAGGCACGGCTCGTAACAACTTTTTTACTATGTAGGATTCTTGAACGGTTTCACCAAGAGCACGAACATTGCTCACAATACCTCCAAGTTTTGCAGAAAAATCGTCCACAGTCTCTGATTCACTCATGTCCATCATCTCAAATTCAGCTTTGAGAGTTTGAACTTTGGCTGTTTTGACTCGATCTGCTCCAAAGTACATCGTCTTGAGTGTTTCCCAAGCTTCCTCTGCCGGTTGCTTCTCCGAAATAGTCAATAGAACCTCCTCCGGAATTGCTTGGTAGATGGCAGCCATCGCCATCTTGTCTCTCTTCACACCAATCGGATTTTGTGGGTTCTTCGGCTCTATGGCTTCCCACACCTCTTGAGCTTGCATATAAATCTTCATCTTTATCGACCATGCTGCGTAATTCGTCTTAGACAGCATAGGGTATTGAAGAGTAACCGATCCTTCTTTGTTCGACATCGCACCAGATTCGCTCTAATACCAAATGTTGGTTTAAACTTCTTAAACAATGATGGTTTACTCCCTTTAATTTGCTGTAGTGGATTAGGAAAACAAAGAAGGAAGAAAACAAAACAAAGCCAAGAAGGAAGAGTGACAGCAAGAAGAAAACGTGCAGGGGAATAAGAAGAAGCAAGGAGAAAAACTTTACTGCAACTTTACTCTCAAGTTCATCATCAATAAAAGAAAAGCAAAATACACCTATTTATAGGAAAACAAAAAACGTGACAACTACTTAATTTCCTAGACTTGTTGACCAAGTAAAACATCCTAATTTGACTCTACTACTAACTTTCCATATGTTGTGAAGTTTCCATATTCTGAATTACATTTACATTAATTAGTGTG